TGACACTTGAGGAGGAAGCCGAAAGAGGAAGTTTATAGTTGAAAGTCGATGTAGGAGGAATAATAGGAATTGAAGAGGAAGGCTGATTATGAATACAGTGATCTCGAGTGCTGTTAGAGGTATGAGGGCGGTTATCACTTCCCGGATGCCCACACCGTGGAAGGGTTGTTCTGAAGGTACCTGAAAAGGAATTTCGATTAGAGGTGGTCTCAGTGACCTGAGAGCGTGACCGCAGAGCCTAGCGGACAACTGCTTGAGGCCGGTCGCGCACGGCCTTTTTGTGGAAGGTTTTTAATGTGTTAGCTCCGTTCCTCAAAGGGCCTTACCGCCGGAGACGGAAATCCGTGAGGTAAGGTGAGGTGTGACAGTTTTAGGGTCGACCTTTTCTAACCCCACCCCTCCTTGTGGGAAGGCAGCATCGCTGTCATGCTGGTTGTCTGAAGGAAACACCTTACTGCTGTCACACCTCTGTACAGTCAGCAGTACGACTTCGCCTTCGGACCTTGGGTTTGTTGCTTTTAGTCTTACCGCTCTTCAACCAACCTGTCTGACATGGTAGGACCTTGAGGAACGGTTGTTCCAGCCAGTATAGCTCGGTTGCTTCATCACGATAGGCAAGCCCGACCACCACGTCAAGGCTCGGGTGTCAATGCAACCCAATCCTGAAGCAACATTTTGCATTGCGAGAGGGAGAATCGCATCCCAAACATGCCTGCATTGTTGCTTAGAGTGGTCAGAAGACTCTGCATTTTGTCAGCATCTTCACCAAATAAAACTATGTCATCAGCATATTCTAAGTCAACAAGTGAACCTCCCGGTAGAATTTCAAGCCCTGGAAATCTAGACGAGGAAAGTGTTATTCTAAAAGTACGTCAACAACAAAGTTGAACAAGAATGGAGAGAGTGGACAACCCTGACGAACACCACTTGAGGTAATCAATTCTGATGACAGTTCGCCATAAGCTCTCACTCGACCAGTTGTGTTCGAGTAGAGAGCCTTTATAAGGTTAATGTACTTCTTTGGTACTCCTTTCAGTGACAAACACTGCCATAGAACCTTACGATCAACAGAGTCGAATGCCGCCTTAAGGTCGAGAAATACCATCATTGTGGGGCGTCTGAACGTATGTATGTGTTCTAGAACCTGACGTAGTGTGAATATCTGATCTATACAACCACGTCCAGGTCGAAAATCAGCCTGGTTTTCTCTAGTCTGTTCTTCACGAGCTTTAGTTAGCCGTCGAAGTATTATTGAAGCTAATATTTTAGACACTATATTAGTCAAACTGATTCCTCTGTGATTGTCACAACAGGACTTTTGTCTTTTCTTAAAAACTGGCACAATCAGTGATTGAGACCAGTCAGATGGAATTACGTCCAGTTCCCAAATTCTACCTAAGACCTCAGTTAATCTCACTGCTAATACTGAACCACCATCCTTAAAAATCTCAGGAGTAAACCTGTCAGGGCCTGCTGCTCTCCCTCGCTTCAGATTTCCTATGGCTTTTTCAACTTCGTAAAGAGACGGAGGACCTACGTTAACTTGCCATTCAGGTTGACTGGAGATCGTGGGAAACCGAACTGTGGCTGAAGGCCAGGTGGAATGAGTTTCCGAGCATCTATCAGTGAGATAGATGCTGCTGAGATCCTGTGGTGCTCCCTAACCTTACGGGTTACCTTACTGGCAGATATCACTGCTGTTTCCACAGCTTTTCGGATATCATTCCATGCTGCATCGGGGTGGGCATCACATGCATGGCTGCCTAACTGTTTTCCTACTTGTTCCTGAAATATACTCTTAGCTTGACTATCATTAAGTAGGGCCCTAAGAGGTTTACTTGCAGCGTCTTTCCTACGTCCAGTAAGACGCAGACAGATACGCGCTCGTACTAGAGCATGATCTGAATCTAAGCATGTGCTCCAGAATGAGCTACAGTCTTCTATCGAGCCCCTCCATCGGTGGTTGATAGCGATGTGATCTATTTGGGTCCAACGTTGGGACGAATTAGGGGATCGCCATGTTAAAACATGTTTTTCCTTATGCCTAAAGTTAGTATTTGCAAGAAAGAGGCGGTTATCTGAGCATAGCTGCAACAGACGGTCGCCATTATCTGTTCTTTGAGCCACGATGCTATAAGATCCACCCAGGTGTCTTTCCATATCGCTTAGTTTACCTACTTGAGCATTAAAGTCACCGGCGATTATCACTACATCCGAACGCCTAGCTTTAAGGAGGAGGTCGGAGAGCTTTCTGTAAAACTCATCTTTTACATCATCTGAGCTGGAGTCAGTGGGAGAATAGGCAGAGACGACGAAGAGACAACGACGAGTGTCCCTATCTTTTCGGATCCTTACTGTTCCGTTTAGTCGGACAGCGCACAAACGACTGTCTACTGGGATCCACTCTAAGAGAGCTAGTTCTGCCCTAGGACTCAATACTATACCTACGCCGGCGAGGCCACGGGAAGCAGAATCAGGGATTCCAGATACACGAAGTGTGAATCGAATCGGTTCTTTATTTTGGCATGGTGAGGTCAAATAGATGACGCTACTCTGATCCTGTATGCGCGTTTCGGAGACGCAGCACACATCGATGGCGCGGGATTCTAAAGTCCTAGCTAAGGAAGCCTGTTGTCCTATTTGGCACAGTGTTCGGACGTTAAAAGCTCCTACGTGTAGTTTAGAGTGTGGTTTCAGGAGACCAGGAATAGCGTTCCGCATACTCGAATCGTTTGCCCTAGCGGTGCGAGATGATAAAGAGACGTGAGGAGGGTTAGTCATGAAGATAAGAGGTATTAGGAGGTGTAGGAAGGATTTGAATGTGACCAACTTGTTCTCGTGTGCTGTTACGGGTATGAGGGCTGATATCACTTCCCGGATGCCCACACCGTGGAAGGGTATTTCTTGAGGAACCTGAAAAGGAAATTGGATTAGTGTTGGTCTTAACGACCTGGGAGCGTGACCGCAGAGCCCAGCGGACGACTGCTTGAGGCCGGTCGCGCACGGCCTTTTTGTGGAAGGTTTTTAATGTGTTAGCTCCGTTCCTCAAAGGGCCTTACCGCCGGAGACGGAAATCCGTGAGGTAAGGTGAGGTGTGACAGTTTTAGGGTCGACCTTTTCTAACTCCACCCCTCCTTGTGGGAAGGCAGCATCGCTGTCATGCTGGTTGTCTGAAGGAAACACCTTACTGCTGTCACACCTCTGTACAGTCAGTAGTACGACTTCGCCCTCAGACCTTGAGTTGCTGCTTTTAGTCTTACCGTTCTCCAATCGACTTGCCTGGCATGGTAGAACCTACAGGAACATATGTTCCAGCCAATATAGCTCGGTTGGGTCATCACGATAGGCAAGCCCGGCCACCGCGTCAAGGTAGCAGCTTCGGTCGGGGATCTGAGCTATGCTAGCATATTTGGACTAAATGGTCAGGGTCCTTGTGATAAACGTGATCAGTAGCTATAGACTAGATGATATGGTTCAAAATCGTCCACAATTATGCTACTTATCTTGTTGATTTTATTCTGTCATTTCAAAGTGATATAGCAACTTGGGATAGCACATATTTTTCACAGGCTCCATGTTAGTTATGACTAATTGACTGTCATTAATTGTCGTTATTACGTCGAAAATGAACAGTCAATTTGTCTGACATCCTGTGAGAAAAGCTCGTATCTATCCAAGTATTCAGAAAATTAATTACCAGAATAGGTAATGATAATGATGACCATACAGTGTTAAGCAATACAAGTGTACCATCCTTTAAAAGATTTAGATAACGTACTTCACGTGTTTATGTTATATCATGTGATAATACAAACTGTTGTTTTGATCAATTGCTGTATAAATACTTTCATATGATAAAAATGATGACCAGAAAATTGATGTGACAAACGATTCCCATAGTCATACTACGGGATAGGATTCGTGGTTTCGTAAAAGCAGGCTGGTATTATCGAATTGGAACGTATGTGCATCAGTCAAATTTGACTAATGACGAGTATCTGCAGTGGTGGAAGGAACAATTGTATGGTAGTGTCCATATTTGAGAGAGTCTCAGAAAACTTGTGTTATTCAATTCAAACCACTCTATGTGGACTTATGCAGTGGTACAAGGACTAGTGAAGAATTATTCCCCGAATAACTGCAATAATTAATAGTCGTCAAGACTGTTTACAGTCATTATTTTTGTCCTTTGTTGTGAGCAAACAAATGGACCTAACATGTTTTAACTCCGACCTTGTTGAGATCCACCTTTCTCCCAGAGAATTTGATAGACCTAGTATATCCACATGATGTCGTCTAAGTGAATACAGTGAATACGTACAGGGTCTTTTAAATGTATTACGCAAACCTTTGAGATTATTTAGCAAACATTCCTAACCTGCTAAGTGCACAATAATGCTTTAGGAATGATTTGTGCCAATACCTATTTTGAAAATTTAATGAAATGGTTAGGTCAGTAAGTTATTTTACTTAATACGCAGTCTAGTTGGTTTAAATTGTATTTGCCCGTTTACACTACATGTAACACTGGTGAAGTATCTAACTATCTACGAAATGATCATGTCGTGCAACAGTCCTCCCTATAACTATCAAATTTAAACACTTAAAAAGGAAATATGGAAATTGCAGGTGTTCGGTTACCGATACATGGGCATCATTGTCAGTGTGTGGTGAAAGCATAAAGTTCGCATTGCAAAAGTGAGGCACGAAAATCTAGACAAACTATAATTCAATCGGTGTACGAATAAATGACATTACGACAAAAAAAGTAAGATACACCTAGAAAAAGTAATAATTACAAACCGGGTTCCCAAGTGAAAACACTGTTGGCGATTGGATATTAAACCATTTACGAGAAAAAAGTAAGTGAAACTATGGCCTCCTTCATGATTGATAATAGCCTTTAAAAACGACCGATTATAAAGTAAAGTGAAGAGAGAATTTAGGAGACAAACAAATATTTGAAGATGAACTTTACAAGAGAACACTGGGGCACTAACCTGTAAATTAATGGAATATTTGGTGGATAAAAGCTGTGACCAAAGACTTTTACGTATGGGATGTGATGGGGGTAAATTGAGATTCCGAATGAATATTTTTAACTTTGCATGCCCATACTTAGAAGTTTTATCAAACAACGAGCTCAAAACAGCCAACTCACTGCCATCGTAAACAACCTTTCCTAGGCTTGAGGAATCCACCAAATCTGTAAAAGGGCTAGAATAAAATTTGTTATAGTAAGACTACTTTATGTAAAACAATCTGATATTAAGAAATATGATATATAAAGTTAGGTATGCGACAATTCACAGACGCCCAAGCTTAAAAAAGGGGTTTCCTTATGGGACCAATGTCCCGTTGATTGAAAAGTCTACTCGATGAGACAATGAGATGACACTGTGAACCTTATTTTTCAGATAGCCATCGAGTGGTATGATCTTTTTATTCTTTTTATTACGATCCTAAAGTTTGTATGATTTGAAGTTGATGTATTTAATTCGATCCAGCACAAACGCATGCACGTAATCAACACAGAAACTGACAAAAATGTGCATCAGTCTAATTTCCCACATCATATCAGCATAACGGAATAAAGTAGTAGAAGCAATGATAGAAGTAGCATCAGTGGCAGCAAAAAATTCAGGTACAGAAAATATGATTCTAAAATAATGAATCCATAGAATAGAAACAAAATAATTTTTAAAATCAGGATATTGGTTTAACATTAAAGTGCATATATCTCAGCCGTTACTACCGACCTTGTAGCCACCTGGGTAGTGAAAGTTAGCGCAACATATTTAGAACTGAGAGCAAGCCGTTATGTATGAAAATAATCCGAAATATTACTAACAGTTAACTGAATGATACGTAATTTAAAAAAGCCGGGGCAAATTACCTAGCTAGAAGTATGCCTCCAATGTAGAACCCAGTATAGGTTTTCATAACACTAAACAGCACAAGTTTGAGTACCTGGGCAGTATCACAGCCCTCACACAAATCGGATGAGATTTGTGTGGCGCATATGTATGTGGTGCCCCCTTGTACCAATATCTATGTGTCCAAATAAATAATACAAGTAGGAAATCAACTACACGAGAACGATATCACGATGAACAAGAAGAACGAGAGATGAAAAATCAGTCCTAAATTCGAATAAGAAATAATTATATCGGGACAACTGTGATCGATTTCTAAGTATGTCATCGTGAGAAATCTAACCACGAAACATGTCTCTCCACAAATCAGGAAGAAATATCTTTTCAACTAGCATCATTTTTCTGCGTGATTACAAATATCAGTTTGGAAATATTCGCACTCTAACCAACAACTCATGTTATTGGACTAGCCAGTTGAAAAGGTACAGTCCTATGGTAGAAATGGTTGTCCGATTAAATAGTTAAGGCATGTTGAATGAGAGCTGAAGACAACGCCTGGATACTTAAGAAGTAGATGACCTAAGGTTTTACCCTCAGGTAATAACTAAACTTCGAATGTTTAGGACACGATGTCTCAGGTCCATAATAATGATAATAATAATAAGCACTGCTGACAGGGTATTTAATAAACACATAATAACCAATATTTTGAAGTTAAATAGTTACAAAAATATACTTCTGAGCATGTAATCTATTTTCAATTTTTTACCTCAATTATGGTAGTAAGGAATTGTAATCTACTTCAAGGTGCCTAGAATTTCTAATAACAGCGACTCGCGATTATTTAAACTGTACATTATTTTCCCTAAGTCATTTCTCCTCATAAACTTTGTTTTCACAAACTTCTCAGATACGAAATGAATAACTAATATGTATGTAGCATGTATCAAAACTCCAACAAATTATAAATTATTTGGCACAAGTCTACTTAACCACATCATGTAAACGACAAGATTTAATACCTTTCCCTCGAAGTAGTTAAAAACTTACGTGACCCTTTCAGGGATGACGCATAAAGCCATTAGACATCCAACATTTTTTTTCACTACACGCCAGTGGGCATTGGGAACGTGATGAAATATTCCTAATCCAGAGACACTTTTTTAAGACTGTAGACGTAGTATTTTAGAGAAGACTACGGTGTTGTGTACTCGATATTTAATGGTTAATTAGATATTTCACTCAGACAATTCGGTCGGTAAATCCCAAATAAACTTAGTATCTTTACTATGATTTTTCAACAAATAATTCATCATTCTCACCGAAATTTTTAAATTGAGTATGACGATCTGAGCCCTCACAAGGTCGGTTCAAAATGTAAGATCACCAGATAATTTGTCTGTTTGTGAAAAGTAACTTGTGATTTCAAGTAATTCAAGACTCCAGGTTTATGGTATGTTACCTAAGGGACCAATTCATGAAGTGATTTAAAAAAATTATCTGAACCATGTACGTAGGTGCAGACTGCTTGGTTGAGGTCCGCAAGATTATTGTTGGAGACTTTCGGTGGCATGACTTATGATCGTGCGCAATACCGTACGTGCATTCGTTCTTTGTTTTCAATTATTCCCTAGATCTCCCTGTACTTTTTTTCCTCTTTTCTATACCTAACGTTTTCTAATACTACAATTACTACGACTACCTCTACCACTCCTGGATTTATCCCGATAATTCTATCTCGTGTTAATGTGACATGATAACTTGAACCTAGGCATGCGTCAGGTTCTTCGTTCAATATGACTGACTCACCTAACGATGCTAAAACTTTGTGTAATCATTGAAAGATAGATGATAGTATATAATTAGTTACCTAAAACAGTCAAAATCTTATTTGATTATTGAAGAACTATGGATAGATTTTATCGGAAAGTCGTGGTTTTATCAACCTTAATCCAAAAGCACTTATAAAAGTTAATGCAGTTACTCGAAATACACATTCCAACTTACGTTTACAAAAGGTCATTTCTTGAAGTTGATTTCTAAATCATCGAAATCTTTACAGTTAGAAGCTAACATGGTTGGGCTTCCAGACTTTGAGCTTACATTTTATACTTATCATAATAAACAGCTTTATATTTCAGTTGAACTACGCTTAAGTATGGAAAACAACACTAACATTTATCTCAGCAACTATAGAAATTAGATTCATCGCACTGATCAGAAGAGACTTTAGTTCTTTCAAATCAGTATTTCAATACATTGCTTGTCCTTATCCAAACTAGTTGGGAAATAAGCTTACATAAAACTAACAGGGATCGTGGAATATACTTGTAAAAAGGAGTAAAACTAAGTTCACTTACCAAGTTTATCTTTTATGTACTCAGCAATTACACATTTTTTGTTAGCAGTAATAATGGCATCCGGCAGCTCAAGCTGAAGTAAGTGTAGCAGGATTAGAATATGAAACCAACTAGATAGGTAAATTTTCTGGCAATCAACCCACCACTATGTTGAGGTGTTCAACATCGACACTTACTATAATTTGGTTGGTCTGTTGTGCAGTACACTCAGAAACCTATGGTTTACCAAAACTAAGCTCCCTTATATATCTCTAATTATGATCTCACCATTCTTCCCAACTTACCCACTTATCGGTTTGAATAGATGTTTAGGTAACATGTAACTTAAACAGATAATGAAGGATGCTTTTACGTGACCAGCCATGACGTAATGGATGATAAGTGCAAATTATCGTCAATGTATGGCACAACCCTACTCAGTAGCCTCTACAGAGAATCGAGATCGAAATTCTGTCTACATCCACCCATTGTGAGTCACTTACCTCAATGTTGAGCTCATAATAGTTCATAATGTAACAGATGATTGGTTGTTAGTTAAGAACCGAAGTCCCAAATATTTTTGCGGTTAAAAATCAAAAGAAATACGAGCGTTGGACGAATTAACCAAAATCTAAAATATAAACAAATACAAATGATCTAAAATTGTCTCAGACATTACAGCTAATACGAAAACCTACGGGTGAAAGTATTCGTGAAAATGCCTTTATAAAAATAGCCTAAGGATATATGTAATTGTTCTACTATATACATTGACTATTATGCTCTCGTCTTTTTTGTTAGGCCCAGACTGAATTGAAACAACGTTGACCTCAGCTGCTAATGACTACCCAATCCATGAAAATACAAGGTATATGGATTATCACATAAGAGGTGCATTAATGGTTCAATCACTAGGTTCAAAGCCACTAGATCCCGCAATAAAAACGTGCACCACATTGTTTAGTCTGGATATTTGAATAGTATCGCTGTCCCTCACGCAAGTGTGGTAATAATGCTCCGATCTCGTATGAAGAGATGCCAATGATTAAGACACTAGCAGACAGTAAACCTAATGAACGCTACAATATCAGCCAGTTGACAAACAGTTAGTCAAAATATGTAGCATTCATCGAAGCATGTTTGTTATGAAAAATGAAACTATACATATCTGACAAAGTTATCTGCATATACTAAAACTGATTCAACTCCTTGAGAAGAAAAATGAATACGATTTTTGATACGGTTGGTCCATAATATATAAGTGAACTATGGTCCACCAATTTACCGAGTTATTTTCTAGCATGTGATTAAGGTAGTAACTAAGTACTAATGGATCCATACATCGAGTGAAACTGTAGTATTGGCCATTTACTTTAACTTGAGGAACGACATCAATCAAAACCTAGCGGCTAGGTTGTGATGAAGACTCGGTGGATAAACACCTCGTCCGCGAGCAGTTCTTCACATTAAAATCTCATAGGATTTTCTTAATGCGTGTGAACACCTTGAGACTTCTGAGAATAGGGGACTTATCGGTAAATCGAGTGAAGATCCCGAACTTGCGTTAATTTTGAGAAAATGAGACAGAGGAAACCTTAAATTTACCCAGGATTAGGATTTTTACTCAAGGTTTACCTAAAATTGATCAATTTAAATTGATACATGTACCAAAGTTGGGAATTTGTGGCCCCTTGACCGAGGTAAAAAATGTTAGTGACCATTTGTCTATTGTGCATGGACTGCAGACGGAATTTATTTTTGATCAGTAAAACTACCCGATGCAGGACTGACTTTTGCAAAACGGAACCAAGGCGTAACAATCGAGCTAGGATAGCTCAAATACCAGACGACCTTGATAAGTCATCTAATTGGTTCAAATGGTTGTAGACAGAAAAGAAAAAGCTTTCGCCTAACAGGCTTCCGTGTCTAGAAGCATTGGATCACCAATACCTCCAAGCAGTAATCGTGTATATTAGACTGAAAGACGGTTCCAGAGTGCAAACTACAGATGCACGCCCGAAGCATCAAACGTTCTTGAACACCAAGCGGCTCATCTAGTTTTCGAAAAAAGGAAAATCTTCAACATCTTTAGTCGTAGTCCTCACTAATAGAGAAAATAGGTCGGCAAACCTGGTCTAATCCTCGCAGCTCATTTTCCAGTGAACATCCAGCTACTCCTTGGAAATATTTACTGATGGAGCCGACACTACTTGATCGGTACCGAACAAATAGTGAAATGCTTTAACGTTAAAGCATTTCAGTCAGTGAACACTCAAGTAGATCAAATGATTCTGGAAAGAATAGAAGCTTTCGCTTAACGATCTTCTATATCTAGTAGCAGGTATATTTAAATGTAGAAGAGAAGGTAGCGGTAAATAAATCTAAAACAATTAGTCCCTTTTATAAATTTCGATAATGTAATTAGAAGATGAAGATTATCAGAACTATGTGGTATATTAGCGCAATACATTTCGAACAATCTGAGCACACATATACTTGCTAAGAGCATTTATATATTAAAATAAAAGGTCAACCAAACTGGAAATGGGGTATGTAAATGCTCTTAACAAGTATATGTGTAATCAGATTGTTCGAAATGTATTGCGCTAATATATAACATAGTTCTGGTAAATAAATCCTCAAAATCAATAGCTCTGTAAGTCTTCGACATTGGATGCTGACCTTATTAGTTTTAATGAACTCATCTAGCTGAAGGCGCTCGGTCATGCATCCGCACCAGATCACGAGTGGGAACGCCGTGCTTAACCTTCCCTGCAATCGCTAACCAAATTAGATCAGACGATCCTCGATATATTGATAGCCTATCAAATATATCTTCGAACCTCCTCGATTCTGTCTTTTGATTTCACTGGGTGGGTAGGATTCATATTAGGTGTTACTGGTTAAAACGTTATCAAACTCCAAATACCTGTGGCATCTTCATTGGTGAGCCCGACGTGATCTGTTACACCAAATTGCAAACTGCGAGTCTGTTACTTTTTGGGATTCTCTATATTAATTTCTATATTAATCTCTGTATTAATTTTTTATTTATTGTGATATTTTTCGTGTTTTTGATATTTTTCACTCGTTCATTCTCGTACTTGATATTGCACCATGACGGGGCGAATACCCAAGGTACTTAAGCTAAAGGCTATGTCCCCACCTTCGTTCCAACTAATGCCCTTCTGGCCAGACAACATCGAAGCCTGGTTCTGTTACGAAGAAGCCGAATTCCACAAGCAAGGCGTGGACGAAACACGTGCACAATTCCTCGCAATAGCCAAGGCACTATCGCGCGAATTCAACAGGTACGTAACACCTAGCATGTTTACTAGTGATGTTTCGGAACCTTACGAAACACTGAAACGACCTATCCTAACCGCGGAGACCTGACCGATTGACAAAGTTTAGACCAACTCCTTAATAACATCGATCAGCAACACGGTTCTGTGACAGACATGTTGCAAAGAATGAGAGAGGTTATCGGCCAAAGAACCTTCGATGATGGCTTATTCAAACAACTTTTCTAGTTCACACTTCCTCAATAGGTGCAAGCTGTAGACCAGCTGGCTGCGTCTGCCGACCGCATCTTAGAAATCACTAAATCCTCTAATACCGAGGTTTTCCAGTCAAAGAAAAGCTTCAAACGACCCAGAATGACATAACAGAGTTATATCATACACTTACACGTTATCTTAAATTTCGTAACGATCGTAAACGGTCACACATCCCTTGAAGAAGCACTTCATGTAGGCGATATATCTCTAGACCACGAGAGACTGATAACCCCGACTGGTGCTGGTATCATGACCAGTATGGAAGGTCCTCCAGATGTCGCAGAAAACCCTGAAATTTTCCCAACTCAAAATCGACGGACACAAAAAACAATTCGAGAAACTTCCAAGCCGGCAAGCGTTAACGGCAACAGTAGCCGGCGAACAGAGCCGTCTGTTATACGTCACAGATGTAATAACTAAAGTTCGCTACCTCGTCAGTACTGACACAGAAGTTAACGTTCTTCCTGCAAATTCCAACGACCGGCTTCGCGAATCAGCTTTAGACTTACAAGCGGCAAACGGAAAGCCTATCGCCACATACTGTAAAAGGTACGTTTACCTTAACGTGAGTTTGTAGTGGCATTGGACAATAACCACACAATCCTCAAAGTTGAATACGAGACTATTCGGAAAATAGATATTCAATTTTTAACGCAGAGAAATACTTAACAATGGAAGAGGCGGGAACAATGAGTTGAATCAATTGGAGTTGATCGGAAGGCATGGCTCAGCCATGCAGGCGTGGCTCCTGCGGAATGTTATCTTTTATCTTTTATTCATATTAAATATACTGTTCTTTCTCTAGCCTAAGCTTGTTCTCCACCATGTATTGGTAGTTGTTACGATACAGTTAGTTGGTGTAGACGATGATGTGACTACCACTTAAGATCTTATAGATTAGGCAGTTATATCATGACAAGTCTACAATTTTAGGATTAGGGATTATATTAGCTCAGTACTAATATCATAGTAGACCATAATTCTACAGGTTTACGCAGACCTATACACTGGATTTTTGCTGTTGCAGATGTTTCAATGCCTATCATTGGCATAGACCTTCTACAACACCATAATCTACTCATCGATACACGCAAACGGATGCTAGTAGACGGAAACACTAATTTATCTGTTTGCGTAACTTCTTTTTCTGGTTGCAGATTATCTCCAGTCACAATTAAGCATACGATAGACCCACTCTATCAACCACTACTCGGTAAGTATCCTGGGATTCATCAAACGCAACCGAAACTACCGTGTGTAACCAGCAACGTTAAACATCACATCACGACTACAGGACCATCTGTATTCTCTAAAGCATGATGACTAGCCCCTGAAAAGCTAAGGTTGGCGAAAAACGAGTTCGACTACATGATAGACTTAGGTATCATAAGACCGTCAAACAGCCCATATGCATCTCCGTTGCGCATGGTCCCTAAAAAGGACAGCAACGATTGGCGTCCAACTGGCGACTATCGGCGATTGAATGCAAAAACCATTCCCGATCGTTACCCGTTGCCTCACATCCACGATTTGACAGCTACCTCGAAAGGTACAACTGTCTTTTCGAAAATCGACTTGGTTAAAGCCTAGAACCAAATCCCCACGTCTACGGACGATATTCCGAAAACAGCTATCGTAGCTCCCTTCGGACTCTTCGAATTTTCGCGAATGCCTTTCGGTCTAAGAAACGCTGCACAAACTTTCCTAAGGTTCACAGACCACGTTTTTCGAGGTCTAAACTTCGTACACGTTGACGACTGTCTAATAGAAAGTCCGGACAGAGAATCGCATCTCCAGCATCTGAATCTTGTTTTCGACCGACTACAAAAACATGGCATTACTATAAACAGTCAGAAATGCCAAACCGGAGCTGTTTCATTAGGCTTCTCAGGATACAATATAGATGCGCAAGGCATGCAACCCTTAGAACCAAGGTGGCGGCCACCCTGGTTTATCCAGGATCGACCACCATTAGGCAGTTGCGCACATTTAACGGCCTTGGGGAATTCTAACCTTAAGTTCATAATCCCATTTAACGTTAGTGAAAACGACCCACCTCTACCAACAGTCTAAGGACAGAACAACCTATTCTAGTAACTAGATGTATAAACATTGATGGTATTTCCGCCTTCTCAATCTGCAACCCAAAAATGAAGAAGGTGAGAAGAATTAATTCAGTGAATCCAAATTAATCAAATGACATGACTCGGTCTTGCAGGCGTGGTCATTCATGTGTAGCCCATTTCTTTTATTCAAATTAAATATATTTTTTCGTCTTCAGCCTGAATGTGTCCTCCAACACATATTGAAGGTTGTTAAGATATGATGAGTCGCTGTAAACAATTATGTGACTTACACGTTTGATCTTATAGACTAAGCAGTTACATCATGAAAAATCTGCAATTTTAGGGTTATGTCTATTATCAGACCTGTACTAATATCACAGTAGATCATAATTCTAAAAACTAACTCTCAACACTGATAAATTAACTAAGTGTATGGGGTAGGTAAACATTCTGGTAAAATTTTCCTGCTCTTCCTTGTTTGTATTCCCACTTAAATGTAACATGATGATATGACTAGTTAGATTGTAACAAAGGAACAGAAGAGTCTGACCGGTAGGTTATAGTGGAACAGACTGCATAATCGTTAGGCGATGTTGCCTCAATGTATCGTTACTTATGGTAAGCAGATACGCTGTTCCAGTTGACCTTATAATAGACTGAGCCCAATAGTTGATCTGAGTAAATGATTGGGAATGTATTCAGTTTATTTGGAAATGGCCATTAAATCTCCACACTTTTCTATATGTAGGTGTTGTTAAGACGTTTAGGGATGTAAAATTATTGTGGAGGTAGAGTTGAACTGAATAAACTAGTGAACTGCCAGAGCATTGTTTTACCCTTACATTTATAAACGGAGATAGTTTATGGTAAACAGTATATATACCTTTTTCCTTTACCTTCTATAGAGTCCCACTTTCATCATCACACAAAGAATTCAACTGTAAAGTTCAAACATTTTTAGTGTGAGCTCTGTATATTCTTTAGCTAATAGATGGCATTCGTTCTTTCCCACCAGTAAAATCAAAACGCAACATTTGTATTGACAAAGGTCTTAGTCACAAGAATCATGGATGCAGATTATACAAAAATATCTAAGGGAATAACTATGCGGCTCTCAAAGTTTGAATAGTCAAGTTTAAAAAATATCAAGCAAACAAATTACTATAAAACAAAGAATTAGTTGCTTGCCAGGGAAGATGAGTGACGATCAAGCAGCAAAAATAACTCTGCCAGCCAA